TACTAATATATATATATATATATATATATATATATATATATATATAAATTTTGCTCATATATAGATAACTGAAAATTATGTTTGTCGATATTGTATTGTTAAATGAAGAATATGTTGATAACTTAATGTTGATCCAATTGTTCAAACAATGTATTGTTAAATAAGTAATGACTTTAAAGATCAAAAAAAAAATATATATATATAAATACAATACATAGTATGTTTCATTCAGCAACACTAGAGAAGAATTTATATATTCTTTGTCATTTTAATATTAAAATGTTCATCAATATGTTATTTATCTCAATTTACATTATTTAATAATTTACATTATTTACATTATTATAAAAATTTTACATTATTTAATAACAATTCATTGATTCATTGTTTCTATAGCTAATGATATTCTTCTATTAGACTAACTATATACCAACTATTAGACTAGATTATATACTTTAAAATATGAAATATATACGCAAGTATACTTTGTATGGCGTGCGTGTATTCTCTTTTATCTTCCTATCTTCTTTTTTCATATATAAATTCATCTTTCTATAAATTTCTTGGAATTTCTAGAAAGCAAAAATTATTTTAAATCTATTATTATTTTTCTATTTGAATTATATTATATTCTTAACAAATTATATTTTTAATTATATTTAGCGATAAAATCGAATCAAATTTGTATAAACAAAAAGATAAATTTTTTCTTTCTCCAAAAAAAATTTGATTTACGATTCGCAATGCTTTTTACAAAAATATCTCAATTATTGTTTCAATTTATTACTATATAATTATAATTATATTATGAATTTGATTAACAATTAAAACAAATTACTTATATAGGAATATAATTTTATGTATTTTATAACTATAATGGCTATAAAAACAAAAATACAAATTCAATTTTATTAATAGAAATGATTTATTTATATTTTGCATAAAAATATGTTGAAATTTAATATTAAGAAAATTAGCATTTTTTAAAGTTGCAAATTTTTAATTACTTGTTTTATTTGTTCAAAAAGAAATATATATATATATATTAATATTTGTTATTAATTATTATAATAGATCTGATTTTATTTCAGCTATACCGAAGGGTACGACAGACCAGATGCATATGGTCCTCCACGTGGTGGCGGACGGTAAGTTTTATTATTATTATTATTATTTAACATTTACACTTATTACACCAATGCGTTTTTCAAAGTGACATTGATCACACAGCGTTAAAGAGCGATATTAACTTATGCGAGTAATCGTTCGTTGTTTAGGCGACCACGCTCTTTTTGCGCAACGTTATTCGGTTTGATTGAACACTGATATCAGTGTATTTATATTTTGCGGATCGAGATAGGTTAAACATTTTCTGTAAAAGTATAAGATGTGACACTCAGCGCGAAAGTATCAATATTTCTTGATCATAGAGAGCGTTATTGTGCAAACAACGGTACAAGATATAATTTCTATTGTTGATAAAATATGAATAAATTATTCTGCGACTTTTCTAATGTTGAGTGTAAAAGAGAACAGAGGTAGTTGTATATTTGAATATTTATTAATTATTATTCGTATATTAATTGAATGATTTTTTGATTCAATAATATTAAAATAAGAAATAGTATATTTTATTTATAGATGTGTATTTATGAATATGTTTCTTAATATAATATTTTTGTGACGAAATACAAATCTTTACAATTTATTTATGTATTAATATTTGTTTTTTTTATAAGAAATTCAAGAAACAGACTTTAGAATTTTTTAGAATTCAATTTAAATTAAATTTTAATACTCGTGCATGCATACAAAAATTACTAAGCTTTCGAGATAAAGTATGAAATATATGAAGTATATGAAAATTAAAAAACTATTGTATAAATATATTATAATTATACAGGAGAAAAAAGAAAAAATTTGTCTTTGAATTATCTTATCAAAGAAAATAATTACGTCAAGTTTCAATCTTTATTTTATTTTATTTCGATTGTAAAAAAAGAAAAAAAGAATTGGTTGTGTCATTGACATCAATTGAATTAATATTTATATTTTTAAATAACTTCGATGATTTAAAATTATGTTTGTTGAATAGTATTTGTTTTTTTTAACACAATAATAATAAATTCATCGAGATTTATAAAATTTACAAACAATATAAAATTTATGCGCTTTCGCTATGAAAAAAATTGAATAAGCCATTAAATTATTTTTAATTAGAAGTTATGATGACATTGTAATTGATAAATTAAATTCAAATATTATATAAAAGAATATTATTAGATTAGTATTTCGTATTTATGAAAAAAAAAAAATCATTTTTGCCTAATACTACCTCTCTTCTTTTATGTACTCTGCGGTAAAAGTCCGCGAATTCAGCGTATACGTGATTCAAGATATATTTGCGATTAATCGAACAACTCGGTTCGGTAGATGGTGAAAAATGAACCGTAATGCGTTACGACACACTGCGCCGTTAAACGACATGAATTTCGAAGATGCACGCCATCGATCTCTCTGTGCCTCGAAACCGCATCGGCCTTAGCTTTTTAAAAAAAAAAAATATTCTACGTTGAAAAATGCGTATTACGTTTCGAGATATAAACGAGAGAGATGAAGACAAAGTCCGGGTTGATTGTTTATAAAAATTGCGTTGCGTTATTTTGCTATTGCGCCTCTTGTCAACATAATTGCAAGTGATCAAGCAGTTAGCAGAACAAATTTTCAACGATCATTCAGAAATTCTTTTTTCGAATGTTCAAATTTCTGAAAATATTCATGAAACGTTTAAACGAACGTCATCGATAATTTTTTGCGACAATAGCGAGAAACACTTGGATGTGCCGGTAAAACAGTTTTAAACATGTGACAACTTATCAGACCTGAGCATATATATATATCAGAACATATTGCTTATATGCGTTGTTTTCAATTCAGATATAATGATTATGTTATTTATATTTATATTTTAAATTGCTTAACAATTATCGAATATATAACGAAATTAATGGAATATTTTATCTTTATCGAATTTCAAATTATTCAAATGTATATTAGGAAATATTTTTTTTATATCTTTTTTTTTATACATGCATTTTATTATTTAAAATTTCATGATTTTATGGTAGTAAAACGTTACATATATTTTATTTAAAAAGTTTCTTACAATAATTCTTAGCGATAGATCAATACATATATTAATTAAATTTAAATTATAATTTTTATCCAATATTTATGCAATTATTTAAAAACATCGAAATATCTCTCTCTCTCTCTCTCTCTCTAATATATTATCTTTATTTGCATTGCTAGTATTATGAATGAAATATTAAATAAAAAATAATATTTTGTTAAATTGAACACGTAGAAAAAACAAAACAAAATAGTTGATAGTTCAAAAAATGTAGAGCCAGGTCTGTAAGTTGTATGTTATTCGGCAAATGTGTGTTACATGCGTTGCGAGGAGATTCAATCGTTAAAATCAGGTATATCCATACGTGGTGTGATATCGAAAGGCGACAGTGTGAACGCGACACTGCCGTTATGTAAGAAAGAGAATGAAAAGTATAAAAGTAAAACGTATTCGCGCATACCAGTGTTACATCTTATACTTTCCAGCTATTGTTGCGCCGAAAGGCGATGAAGAAATTAATACTGCGATTTTTCATTTTTTGACCTTTTAGCTTCCCAGGTCCGGCAGACGCGATGCCACCGAGGTACTAAAAGCGTACACTAAAGCGAATACTAAGCGCATGCGAAAGGCTCCCTTAAAAAAAAAAATGCCTCTTTAGTGGTGGTCATTCGCTTACGGAATCGAAAACCTAGGAACTGCCCTGCGTCCGACATACAGAGTCCATACCATTACATACGATACTATGTATAATGATATAGATATGATATAACGATATAGATACGATCTAACGTTTAACACACTAACTTAAGGTACGGTAAGAATAAGGAGCACATCAATCAGCAACATATGAATGAATTAATGAAATAAGCAACTACGATTATTTGAAGATAAGAAAGAAGAAGATTGAATTCCTGACTGAAGTGAACTTTGTAATGTGGAATCAAGAAATTTTATATATCGTTCATTTTTTCCAGCAGATAGTGGATATATATTCTTTTTGTGCGATTTGTGTTCGTAGTTTTTTTTCCTGATATTTCCAATGTTTTTCTCTATCTATCTCTATCTTTCTCTCTCTTTTTCTCTCTCTCTCATAGTGGTATAACCCAATCCTAAAGGCACGGGTTGAATTATCTTTTATCTATCTTAAGTCACATGGTTATTACACATTAGTAGGATAGATGATTTCGTTATAAGTTTGTAATATTTAGCATCAGCAAAATGGTGACTTAGGCTATTAAAACAAAAAATGCTGTATAATCTTTTTTTTTTTTACACGTAAGAACTTGGATAATGTTTTAAATGTTCATTAATAAAGCAAAGAAACGTGTTTGCAGAATTTATCAATGTACCTCAACGGAATGAAAAATAAAATTCAAACGTATATGTCTTTAAGTCTCTTAGCTTGAATATTTACAAGTACATTTTCCTCGTTACAATTTCTTTATAAATACCTTATTACTCGCAAAATCTCTATACACGCTAAATAATTAATCAAGATTTATTTTTAACCTTCGATCGTTCATCACATTTTTATTTCTTTTTTAAATAAATTTTTTTTACCAAAGTTTCTTCTACTCTTTGTTGAAATATGCGACGTCGACTAATGGGTACGTTAAAAGGAGACCATCGAAGAAATTTATATACAAGATCAACTGAAACATGATTTACTCCTTTCTCGTTCTTCGGCAAAACAATCTAGGTATTATTGGCGCGCGTTTATACGCGATATAAACATATGATAATTATTAGAATGACGTTTTGCATTGTAAAATTGTTCTTTCTCTCCTTCCTTTTCTTCTTTTTTTCTTCTCTTTCTCTCTTTTTTTCTTTTTCCTTTCTTTCTTTCTTTTTGTCCAAACTTCAGTACAGGGATATTGAATATTATTAAACAAATATATTTAATGGCATGCAATATTAAATACAAATATATTTTAAATCAAGATCAAGTGTTTATAATACTAATATAACCTTACTTTACATAAGATGATTTTCAAATCATTCAATAATTAAATATGTGCAAAAATTTTGTATTAAATATATATAACTTCATGTGGTATCAAGGTAATGTATTTTTTGTTAAAATTTTTGAAACTTCTTTACTGTATGTGCTAATAAGTGAAAAATGCCTTTTATTAAATTTAATTATTTGTCAATTATCCCTCAAATAATAATATCAAAAGTGAAAATATATTAAATTTCTATGAAGATATTATAAATTTCTTGATCTCGATCATTAAAATTAAAGTAGTAATTGCAAGTAAAGTAAATTGCAAAAAAATTTCATGTTATTTTTATATACAAACTATGGTATTTTAAGGAACTTCAAAATGTATATAAAAGGATATGTAAATTTATAAACTTATTAAACTTTTAAAAATAGAAAAACATAAGAAATGCAGAACGTCATTTAACTTTTGATGGTATCTACATGACTTGTACTTAGACAGCGTAATCATGAATTGTGCGACGAATTGCGCGTAAATACAGCGCACTCTAATCCTGGTGGCATATCAACGTCGAATTATTGAAGAGACGATATCAAGTCGCTTACCTATGCGTGTGGCCTATTGATGCGACTCTGGTGAATAATGCAAGCTTCGATTTGCGGATAACGTGCTACAAATTGCGTTTGCGCTCAAAACTGGCGGTGCTTTGAATTTAAACAGAAGGTATGTTTAACGCGTGCGCCATTTTACTCTTTGCTCGTTAAAGCAAAAAAAAAAAGAAAAAAAA